TAAAACACAGTTATCATTTATACGGTTTTGGATTTAAATGACTCTCAAGGTGCCCTCTAACCTTTTTTGCTGTTGGCATCTGTCTCTGGAGACGAATGGCTAAAATGATTCATTCAGTTTCATTTGTTGAATGTCTGTTAGATATCCCATTTGTTATGCAAACTAGGGGCAATATGTTTCTATGGAAACCAATTAGCTAGAGGCACTTCTAGAAGGTAAAGGTAAAAGACCCCTGGACAGTTAAGTTGCAGCACTCATCTAGCTTTCAGGCTGAAGGAGGTGGTGTTTGTCCACAGACAGCTTTCCGGTCATGTGGCCAGCATGACTAAACCGCTTCTGGTGCAACGGAACACCATGACGGAAACCAGAGCACATGGAATTGCTATTTACCTTCCCGCCACAGTGGTACCTATTTATCTACTTTCACTGATATGCTTACGACACAGCGCCACCCGAATCCCAGTCTCCTAACAACTGTCAGCACCCGTAACAAACTATAGTACCCAGGATTCTTTGGGGAAAACAATGTGTCTAGACCACAGCCAGTATGACAAAAGACAGAATGTCCTTCCTCCTCTCTCCTTGAGGGGAAATAAATGGTTTTTAAAAGTGAGAACTGTGTAATTCATGGACAGAATTGGTTCTCCAAGTACATTTGTTGCAACTTCAACATTTATAATGCATTTGTGTATTATGTATGTATCTCTCTATCTAACAAGGTGGTGGTGGTTGCCCTTTAAAGAAATGGTCAAAATCTAAAATTTTATGATGAAGTAACAAGAGGAAGGGAGCAGAGACACGTATAAACACTGCAAGAATGTCTGCCCATTTCAGTTGCATGACCTTGAGCTTAGCCCAGGGACGGCGACAATCATCCCAATAAAACTTTTTAGATGGGAAGCCTGCAGTAAGTTGAAAGCAAAAAGGAAATTCATCTGGGAGAGCAAATGGACAACCACTGAGTTCATCTTTTGCGGGGGGGGGGGACTGGCGACAGGACAAATAGTAATAATGGGTGAATCAAGAGATGGGAAACCTGTGGCCCTCCAGATGTTGTGAAACATCTGGAGTTATGTGGGTTCCCTACCCTGGCCAGTAGAAGGGGCAGAACCAAGCACACTGTCCCATGCTTCTTGGAAAAAGGGGACGATAAAAATGTCATCAATTCAGCGCAGCTACCGTTTGCTTCTATTAAGGGCAGAAGACGAGGGAAATGATGTGCTGGCTGCTAACACAGCATGTTTCCTATGCTCACCATTCCATTTGTGACAATTGGACTATTTAAAGTCTGGACAGCTGCTATATAGGATTAAAACTGGCTGATTGTACAGGCAGAGTAGGGTCCTGTGGAAAGTCAGGTGTTGTGTGTCACTCAATGCCTTAATGTAACATGCTCCTTAAGAATCTGTGTCTCGTAAGTCTGGCGATTATCCAACCACACTTAAGAGCCTTTCAGGCCCCTTTGATTTCAACACTGGGAGAGTTCTGCGCCTGGTGGCCTCTTGCTGAAATTGATGGAACATAAAAGTGCCAAGCTTCAGTTGAATATGGCCCTTAAAACAAAATTCCTCGAGGTGGCTTCACGGAGCCTTGTTCATCCCAGAAATGTAATTATAAAATGCTTATTTGGCTGCACAGAACGGCACCAAAGTTCATCCCATAAAGAGCATTCAGATCACCGTAAACAGAGCAACAGTAAACAGAGGCGAGTTGATAGTTACCACTGACGGTTCACCCATCACACCGAGCCACTTTGTTTTAAACCATGACTTAATTGTGAACTTGCCCCACCATCACCACCTGCATGGATTGCTTATGGTTTGTTTGAAATGAAGAAAAAAATGCATTCTGAGTTCACACAACACAAGACGTACTGTGGTTGGTTTGTGCCATGAGCAAGCAGCTGTGAGGGGACAGGAAGCATGTTCACGATTAAGCCGTGGTCTAAAATAAACTGACTTAGTGTGACATGCAAAAAAGAGCCACTGTGAATTTTCTCTTGGTCATGAATTAGGAAAAATACAAAATGGGGGCGGGCAGTGAAGCTACCCCTCATAATGTTATACAGTGGTACCTCGGGTAAAGTACTTAATTCGTTCCGGAGGTCCGTTCTTAACCTGAAACACCACTTTAGCTAATGGGGCCTCCGGCTGCTGCCGCGCCACCCAAGCACGATTTCTGTTCTCTTCCTGAAGCAAAGTTCTTAACCCAAGGTATTATTTCTGGGTTAGTGAGTCTGTAACCTGAAGCGTATGTAACTCGAGGTACCACTGTAATTCCAAAAACCCGCATTAACATGATGCCCTTTTATTAGGCCAACCAACCAAAATAGTGTACACACTTTAGTAAAGCTGAATGCCCCAATATGCAGTTTTCTCTTCTAGATCAACATGACATCCTCTAACTTTTCTGGTGTTGTAACCCTGCAGGGCTAAAGTATCCATTTTTCAGAGGGATCTTCTGAAAGCTCCTTTTACATAGCCTGGGATTCATTCAACAGCTGGAGTTAAGCTGGCAGGCAGATGGTGTTTTAGTACTAATAGTTTGTATTAATCTGACTGCAACAAGATATTTTGAGCACACATTTTTTATTGACTTTCTGAGTCTATGGAACGGGGCTGTCTATAAATTACTATTAATTAACTTAATTAATTCAAGTCAGATGGGGACCTCAAAAAATGTTTGTATGTTTTTGTCATTTTCATCTCCTTTCCACTTTTATCCCACCGTGGATATGAATAAAAGAGAATGCTATTGAACACATAAGAGTTTTGTTTGTTTTTAATGTTACAGCTCCGCAAATGTATTCCTGCTGTATCAAAAAATGAGGTTATCCTGTGTACACTTACCTGAGAGCTTACTTCTGAGTTGACATGCATAGGATTGCACCAGCAAAGTATGCATCTATACTTCAAATGTATGTTACTTTTGCACCGCTTTGTCACAGATTGCCCCCAAAATATTGGAAATCGTGGTTTAGTGGAGCTGTGCAGAATTCTAGTAGCCCCCTCCCAGAGAACCACAATTCCCTTGATTCCACAGAAAGAATGAATTATTTAGATTTAGGCTGTAAATGTTGACAGTAACTTTCCACTATTATATTTTTAAATTCATCAGAATGACCACTTTCTGCCTGTCAACTGAGAGCTTGAAATGAAGCTATTATTGGAGTGTCCCTTCAGCCCAAAGTTTTGCGACCTGAGTTTTTTTTCTTGTAGGACCTCACTTGTGGAACTCCCTCAGCAAAGCTGCATTTTAGGGCACCGTTGCTTTTAGGACACCAAAATCAGTTCCATTTACCTAAACCAGTGGTTTTCAACCAGTGTGCCATGGCACCCTGGGGTGCCTTGAATGATGGTCAGGGGTGCCGTGGGCAACACTGGCCTCGTTCCCTCATCTGATGCCCTCTTGCTTCTCTGCCTCCCAAAGGCTTGCACAGGTGTTTGTTGCAGCAGCCCTGGCCACAAGCTCCCCAGGTGAATGGTGCCTCTGGGGCTGGCCAGGGGGTGCTTCCCAGGCCCCTGTAGGGCAGTATGAGGAGGCACCTCTCTTTGGGGGGGGCAGCTCAGAGACAAGGGGCAGCAGCTGCGGCTGCCCAGAGGACTCCCAAGGAGAGGGGAGAGGAGAGGAGGCTGAGGGAACACTCCACAAAGGAAGGTGTTTGAAAAAGGGTGAGAGGCTGCCAGCTCTGCAGGCAAGGGGTGACGTAAATGGGCTCCTGAGCCCCACAGGGGTGCCACAGAAAGGAGGTAGTTGGTCAAGGGAGCTGTGGACTCAAAAGGTTGAAAACCTCTGACCTAAACTTTTAATACTAGTAAAGATCAACTGGCTCTTTTAGAAGAAGATTGGATGAAGTTTAAAGAATATTTTTTTTAAAATGTTAATAATTAAATCCTAGAATAGCTTTGGAAGTGGATATAGGCTGTAGGGTTAGAAGTAGAAGATAGTGTATTTTAAAACAGTATTATTTGTAAGTGATAAAATGTGAAGATTTCTATGGTAAAAGTAAGTGTGATAAAAAAATGGTTAAAAATTATGATATATGTAAACTGCTAAAGATGAGGTAAAATGAAAATCAGATAGGGGGGACTTGGGGAAGCTCACCTAACAATGTTTAGAAAAAATAAGGATAAGACAAGAATTTGTTTGTATTATTTGTTTTTCTGTTTGTGTTGTTTAGTTGTGCTATAAAATGAATAATTTTTTTGGGGGGGGAGATCAACTGGCTCTTTTGAGAGGATTTGTGTTGATGTTTATATGCTGCCTATAGTTTTTTTCATACTGTGGGATAGTTTTGCTTTGTTTTACAATAAACAAAATGACATGCTCCATGTATCAGTGGAACAAAAGCAGGCACTGACTTTTTCTAGGGAAATGTTCGCTAAGGAGGGAGATTGTGGTATCTCAGAGATCATTTCAATGTACTTTGATTATTTCTACTTTTAGTTAAGTATTTTTATTTATTTTCTTGATGGGGGGGCAGCTGCCCCCTGGCTATGCCCATGATCGGTGTGGTGCGCCCTGCGTGTGTAGGGAGGCAAAGGCGCCCAGTATAAAGTTACTGTGGTTCAAAGGGGTTGAGAAGCCTACGCGATTCCAGCAAGGAAAGCCAAACCAAACTGCAACGGGCCAAACTAACCCGCACCCCTTGTGTTTTTGAATGCGGCAACCTTGAACGCGCAAAACGCCATGGCTAAGAGGGGGCGGCGGCGTGAAGTTCAAAGGCGCCATCGTGCCAATGCAGTCTATGTGATTTTGGTATATAAACTCGCTCCCGCAACTGCAAGCCTCGACCCCTAGGGAGCATCTGGCCATTGCATAAGCCTCGTCCGGCCTCTTAAGCAGTCCCTCCTGACGCGCTTACATAACACAAGCCCCGACCGCCGCCATCCCAGCGACCCCGGAAGATAAGATCTGCAGCAAGCACCCCGCACCTCCGATCCCGGGGCGCGCTCAGCCAAAGCGTCCCCGGACACCTGTCCCGCCGCGCCTTTGCGCAGCGCTCTGCAGAGCGGAGCGATGAGCCCGGCCGATCGCAGGCAGGGCAAGCGGCGGCGAAGGCGGAGAGAGCGAGGCCCAGAGGGAGGAGTCTCCGGCAACGCCATCGACGGCCCCACCGCAGCTCCGGGTCCTGGAGCCCTCCGGCTGCTGGCTGCCTTTATTTTGCTGCAGGAGCCTCCTCTGCATCGGGATCCTCGCGCGCTCCCTCCGTCTCTCCATGCCTTTTAGGTGAGTGGCGCGCTCGGGCTGACTTTGGGCGACCCACAGCAGGGCTTCCCTCGGCCGCGCGACCGGAGCTCGCCTTTGCGGTCACTTTGACAGGCGATGGCGCCACCCTCAGCCTCGGTTCGGGGGCACCGGCTGCTGGCAAATGGGTGCCCCCTTCTTCCCTTGACAGGGATCATCTCCCCCCGCTTCCTCGGAGATGGGCAGGCAAAACTTTTCATGTCCCCCCCCCACCCAGTCTGCCCTCCTCGGGATCTAGCGGTCGTCGCGCGCGCGCTAAAAGCGCAGACGGGGAAATCCCACCCCGAGCCGGGTGTCGCCGCCAGGTCCCCTCCCAGTTCTAAGGCTGAAGCCTAGGAACTTTTCGAAGCGGCGCGGGGCAGCGTCACCACCGGCTGCGTTTCCGGAGACTAATAATGTATCGATTGCTATTACTATTAGATTCCCCGCTGCCGCATAGATAGATTGGCGGTGAAAGCGGTTTGCGCGCGGCGCGGATCCTAACTGCCTCTGCATGTTGGAAGGAAGTCTCCGGGTGTCCTTTAGGGCTGCAGGCGGAGGTGCTGCATGCGGCACTTGCGGTGCGCTATGGAAAGGCAAATGGAGAGGGGGACTTTCTTGTATCGGGTGACAGCTAGTCTTTCTGTAAAACAGAAACTGAAAAATGCGAGGAGCAGAGGGGGGCGAGGGGCGCTGGCAGAAAGGGGCCGGTTGTGCAATTGCCTCCTTGTATCGTACACAATGTAGCGGTTTATTTATAGTTCGTGGAAGGAGGAGCCTCTAGAAAAAGGCGCCTTTTTTTAGAGAGAGAGAGAGAATATATTTTAACAGCTGGGCCGCTATTTTCTCAGAGATACATTTCCTGATAGTTTTGTTGTTGTGTGTGCGGAGTGGGGGGTGTTCTCCGAAAAATGAACTTCTGTTCCACCTCCGACGTTTGGCGAAATCCTCCTCCCTCATTTTTCAGCCAGCGCAGAATTTCAGGCGTAATTGTGGGTCCAGAAGTAACTGTTTATTTTTGTTTTAATACTACCGAAAGAAGGGACGGCCTCGGGCTGAGCTCCTCCCAGCCCTCCTCTCTTAGCTCGCTGACCAATAGACACTAACAACAGAGTTTCATTCAGAATTAACTGACTCGAATATATTTTTCTGTTCATTTTCTTCCGCTTCTTCCTCCTCCAACGCCGGGGATCGGAATGGGGCGAGGAGGGGTCTTCGACATACACTTCCTCTACCTTTGAGCTGCGACCCTTTGTTGTAATTCCCTATAATCCAGTAGTTCCATCATAGAATTGCAGGGTTGGAAGGGACCACGAGGGTCATCTAGTCCAACCCCTGGCAATGCAGTAATCTTTTGCCCTACGTGGGGCTCAAACCCATGACCTTGAGATTAAGAGTCTCATGTTCGACCTACAATTGTTCTGGAGAATATTTGGCAAATCCCCTCCACCTAAATTTTGCCACCTGTCTGTAGGGGTCGCGAATCTTAAGAACCATTTTCACTTCATCCTAAAATAGTTATATTTGCTCTACTTAGCATGCGAGTGGGGAATTCATGACTTGGTGCCTTCATGGGTGCAAAAGCAAGTTAATAATTCCTTGGTCTGAAATGGGCTGGCACACTTCCCTCCAAAACGTCAAATGCAGTAGGCAGGATTCTTCCCAAAGTAGCTTGAAACCTTTGACTCTTAGGAAAGCCGGAAGGGGAGGTGGCAGAGAGAGAACTTCTGCAGTACTTCTTCATGCACCACATAGTTAAACTAAAAAGGTAAAAAAGGTAAAGGACCTCTGGATGGTTAAGCCCAGTCAAAGGCGACTATGGGGTGCGGCGCTTATCTCGCTTTCGGGCCAAGAGAGCCGGTGTTTGTCCACAGACAGCTTTACAGGTCATATGGCCAGCATGACTAAACTGCTTCTGGCGCAACGGAACACCGTGACAGAAACCAGAGCACATGGAAATGCCTTTTACCTTCCCACCACAGCAGTACCTATTTATCTACTTGCACTGGCATGCTTTCAGACTGCTAGGTTGGCAGGAGCTGGGACAGAGCAACGGAAGCTCACCCCATCGCTTCTGATCGGCAGGCTATGGAACTCACTATCAGCCACTAATGGTTGCCAACGTAGATGGCTTTAAAAGAGGATTAGCCAAATTTGTGGAGGATAAAGTTCTTCCTCCCCAGTTGGAGATAGCAGTGTTTCTGAACGGTAGTTGCCGGAAGCAACAGCGGCATCTGCTCAGCTGCTGTGAGAACAGGATGCTGGACTAGATGGGCCATTGGCCTGATCCTGCGAGCTCTTCTTATGTACAGTCATACCTCATGTTGCATTAGGTTCATGTTGCGTCCTTTCGGCTTGCGAACGCGGCTTACCTGGAAGTGTATACTTCTGGGTTTCGCCGCATGCACATGTGCAGAAGCATTCTGTGCACTTCGCACATGCGCAGAAGCGTTCTATTGTGGTTGCGGACTTTTCGCACCCCGGAACAGATTGTGTCCGCAACTAGAGGTACCACTGTACGTATGTTCCAGTGCCACTGCTCTTTCAGTGGATAGAAGGGTGCAATTTGGTACAGGGGTCAAATCCCTGCTTGGCCAGAGGATGAGCTATGTGCACACCATACACTTAAAGCACATACACTCACCCCAGCCCACTGTAGTCTACTCTTCACAGAGGTACAGTTTCCCACCACCCTTAGCAAACTACAGTTCCTAAGATTCCTTGGACTGGAGGTCCCTCTACCAGCTGCCTGGGTTTGTGGCTGTCTGACAGACCCACCCGCAGAGGAGACAGTTGAGCAGGAACTGCAGAGCAGGTGCAGAAGTGTCTGCCTAGCAGCATGTGAAGTGACTTGGGAGGAGGGGAGGCGCAGGGATACACCTGTTCCGAACTAGGGATGGAGCCTTCAGCTGCTATGTACAGCCTGAGCTGCTTGACCACTGAAGCACAGCTCTCATTCCAGCTCCATCCTTTCTGGTCTGCAGAAAGGGACAGTGGGATCAACATGCAATTGTCCTATATATGTCTCTAGTTTTTATTCAGAGAAGACCCACCAAAATCAGTGGCCATGACTACTAATTTAGGCCCATTAATTTCAGTTTGTCTACTCTGAGTAAAAGTTAGTTGAATACAACCCCTGATAATTTTTTGCTCTCATTCTAATTTACAGCGTTCCCCAGAAAGCACAATATTTTAGCTTTATGATCCACCTTACTCTTTGAAAACATGAGGAAAACAGGCAGTTTCCAACAATGTTATTGTTTCCTTTGCCTACCTTTCCTAATTTGAATAATATTTGTAAGCTGCAGCATAAGCATAAACTGAAAACAAGATACTTAGGGTGCTCGTGCAAGGTGCAAAGATATAGCTGTGGGAAAACACAGGTAGATGTTGGTGGAGAAACTTCTCTAATCACACCTGTTCGCCTTCTGTGATTGGACACCAGCATTGCTAATTGTGCCTGAGCCAAGCCAATGGGTATATGGAGATCTTATAGCATCCTTGAGCTTCCAGCCTAAAAAAGCAACAACAACAACAATTTATTATTTATACCCCGTCCATCTGGCTGGGTTTCCCCAGCCACCCTGGGTGGCTCCCAACAGAATATTAAAATATTAAACACATATATCTTCCCTTAGGGAGATATAAGGGACAATGCAAAGGTAGTGTGCTGGCTGGCTGCTCAGCAAAAAGTGAGCCCGTTCTAGCCTTCCAATGCAATGAGCACAAAGGCATTGTTGGCTTGTTTGGATGATTTAAGTGCTTAATCAAAAAGCTGTCCAAAGTGAAACACAGCTAAAATCCAGAAAGCAATGAAAAACAAATGTGCATAAAACAAAAACCATGCAAACACAGATGAAAATCAATACAACTTTAGAATGAATATAGGTAACTAAATTACCTGTCTGGGTAAGCATTTTCAGCAGGTCTCTAAAGCAAAACAGCAAGGGCACCTTCTTAATGTCAATTGGCAGGGAGTTCCAAAGGATGGCCACAGTAAGGGACTGACTCCAAATGCAGAATGAACAATCTATGGCCTTTGCCAAAGGTGCAAGTCTGCAGATTGAAGCAGTCGAATAGGCACCTCACCTTAGAGGCGACTGGAGAATGCTAAGAAGTTAGTGGATTAGGCAATCCTACTGCATTCAGTGCTGCAGGTACAGTATGGGTGTGCATGGAACTGCTGCTTTAATTTTATTAAAGTGTGTTTTAATTGCAGCATTAAATACATACGTTTATGTATTGCAGACTATTTATTTTTAGGGTTTTGCTGTTTTGCATCGATTTAATTCCCCCCTCATTACTTGTGCATTACCTGTTCTAAAGATCATTGAGATGATAAACGTAGAGCACTTTGAAAGCCCCTGTTTAAATGCTAAGCATTCTTCTTAATGCCAAGTAGAAGCAGGCATTAATTAGTTTCAGGAGCCCTCCTGAAGCCTCTGCCTTTACGTCTTTATTAATAGCTCCAGGTAGGACCTAAAGGGGGGTGGTGGAGAAACATGTTAACATTTTGTCCATCAGATTACTGTAACACTATGACTTGTCCTCCGAGTGAAACACGTTCATTATTCACCCATTAGCATTGTGGGCAAGTCTTGGCTTGTGCCTCTGCAGAGTTAAACCGCCAAAAGAGCTGCTCTCCGGGGTATAATTACAGCCTGGCACGTGATGACCTTTTTGCATCGTAGACGTGTGTTGTTGGCACCCTTTGGTGCCTTCCCACTGGCGGCTGCTTGGTGGGCCTGTCTCTGCAAGGGATAAACAAAATATCTCTTTCCAGAAAGGGAGGTGCACAAAAGAGGCTGGGCATGGAAGACCCACCCGATTCAGCAGGGAAACAAGAGGAGGGCCGAATAAATTGCTTGCCATCGGCCAGCTTCAAAGCATTCATGCCAAACCATCCAGCTCTTTCTCCAGCTCTTTGTGCAGAGGGGAAGACAGCCAACAGCCCTTTCGATTTGTGGATTTAGAGAGGCCGCTCAATATGTTCCTTTTATTAGGGTGGGGGGGACGTGTGTTGCTCAGACTGTTGTTGAACTGCAGCTCCCACCTTAGATAGCTCAATCGGCAGAGCGGGAGATGCTTGATCTCAAGGTCTTGGGTTCGAGCACCACGTTGGGAGAAAGATTCCTGCATTGCAGAGGGTTGGACCAGATGGGTGGTCCAAGTTTCCAAGATGGCGGCGCGTGCAGATGTTGAAAGCTCCCTGGAGGGGAGTCAGGGTTTGTTCGAACGAATTATTTATAGCCGATCGCACTCTTCCCACCTTGCATCAAATCTATGCTTCCAGGTGCCATAAGAAAGCTGCAGAGATAGCACAGGATAGTGCACACCTCGGAAATGATCTCTTTCATCTTCTGCCTTCTAGAAGAAGGTAAAAGGTAAAGGGGTAAAGGGACCCCTGACCATTAGGTCCAGTTGTGACCGACTCTGGGGTTGCGGCGCTCATCTCGCTTTATTGGCCGAGGGAATCGGCGTACAGCTTCTGGGCCATGTGGCCAGCATGACTCAGCGACTTCTGGCGAACCAGAGCAGTGCACGGAAATGCCGTTTACCTTCCCACTGGAGTGGTACCTATTTATCTACTTGCACTTTGATGTGCTTTCGAACTGCTAGGTGGGCAGGATAAAGATTAGGACTAGCCGCCTGAGAAACAGTTTCTACCCAAATGCGATTTTGGTTTTAAACGCAGTGTAAGGAGTCTCTATGAGAGTATATTGTATTTAAAATGGGGTATCAGAGTTTTTAGGGGGCTAACCAGGTTGGGATAGCTGGGATAGCAGGCTTGTTGGGTTTTGAATGTTTTATGTAGTTTTTCAATTTCGTTGTTCTGTATGGGACAATGACAATAAAGATTATCGTCTCGTATTGAATCATTTTGTATCGTGGTTACTTCCAACTCTACAGATCTATGATCCCTGGCTATTGGCCTTGCTGTCTGCGGCTGAAATCCAGCAACACCCTTTTATTAACACACCTCTTTGCAACACAGTCCTGTTGTGTGGTATTAACTGGGAAAGGCTACCAACTTTTGTTTAACCTTGAGGACTCACCAATGGGCAGTGATCTTCAACAGGTGTTTCTAGAGCTAGCCACAGGTTTTTGCTCGATGGTTTTGGAGAGCCAGAAAAGGAGCTTAGTGGCTGGTGACAGCTCTGTGACACATTTCACAGTAGCCAGCTAGCTATGACGGCTGAACTCTGCCACCGGGGCTGGAGCCAGTATTGCTTCTGAATAACCAGTGGCTGGAAACCACAGGAGGGGAGAGTGTACTTGGGTTTGGGTCCTGTTTGCCGGTATCCCACAGGCATCTGGTTGGCTGCTCTAAGAACAGGATGCTGGACTAGATGGGCCATTATTGGCTTGATCCAGGAGGCTCTTCTTATGTTCTTACACACTGGTGCTGGAGGGACGCTGTATCTAAAGAGAGAGAAACAGTTTGGCGTTGCAAGGTAGACAGCTGCCACGGGGTCAAACTGAGTCTTGGGACATCTTAAAAACTAGCAGCCTTATTATAGCATTAGTGGACAAGTCTCTGCTTCATCAGTTGCATGGAGCATAACCTTTAAGTGGGTTTACATATACAACAGGGAGGGTGTGTTGTAAGCAGTATGAGTTGCTGGTGGTCAGAACAGAGGTTTGTCTCAAGGCAAATCTAAAAAAATGTACGGTAGTATAAACACTGACAACTGGGAAACACTGGCCTGCGAGCCCTCCAGTTGGAGAACAGCCTTTACTAAAGGTGTCATGGGCTTTGAAGACACTCGAACTCAGGACGCAAGGGAGAAACGTGCTAGGAGGAAGGCACGCTTGGCAAATCCACACCGTGATCAACTCCCATCCGGAGACCAATGTCCCCACTGTGGAAGGATATGTGGATCCAGAATTGGCCTTCACAGTCACTTATGGACTCATTGTTAAAACCGTGTTTATGGAAGACAATCTTACTTGGCCACAAGAGATCGCCAAAGACAGAGAAGGATTTGGAGAATGATATGGGTTAAGAGTAGAGCACAAGCTTTGTATGCAGAATGCCCCAGGTCCAATCCCTGGCATTTCCAGGTGGAAAAGGCCCCTATCTGTAGCCATGGAGCTCCCCAGCCATTTAGTGGAACCATTTAGAGCCACCCAGAGTGGCGGGGGAAATCCAGCCAGATGAGTGGGGTATAAATAATAAAACTGTTTTGGACTACAGTTCCCATCAGCCCCAACCAGACAATGGTTTGGCTGGGGCTGTTGGCAGTTGTGGTCCAAAACATCTGGAGGACATCAGAGACACCAGTACTGAATTTGATGGGTAGGGACAACTGGCTGGGATACAAGCTCCAAGAGAACTATAGGTGTGAGGTTCTCTGGTGCTCCTGCTCTTAAGAGTTTACACTCCTGCACTAGGAGCCAAAGCACAAGCAAGAACCAGCTTCCTTACAGACACACCCTTAATCCCTTTACCCACCCATCTTTTCGCAATTCCCTTCCCCAAACTCAAAAGCAGCACGCAGGCTTGTAGTCTCTCTCCGTGCAACACCTTCCACTTTTTCCTTAGGAGAGTTTTGACGAATCCAGTTTTGTCCCCAGCCTTTCTGCTTCTTCTTGCTTCTAAAACTCTCAATGTGAGGGATTTAATTCCCAGGGAATTAGCTGCATCCTTTCCTCTCTGCCACCATGTGCTGCCTTCCCTTTTAAGCCATCTGCTCTTCTCTTTTATCTGCCGCTGGAGGAGAAGCCAAGCCCCGTGTTTACACAGCAGCATGTCAGGCCTTGCCAAAAAGGCTTTCCTCGGGTTCTGGAGGTGCGGCTTGCATTCCCAGCTGAACCCCCTGGCACATTGGATCCTCATTTGGCCCCTCCTTGGCTAGCCACAGATTCCTCCCGTGATTTGACAAATTCATGGAGGATAAAGTTATCAGTGACTATCAGCCATGGTACCTGTGTTCCATCTCCGCTGTTGGGGGCAGCAGTGCCTCTGAATACCAGTTTGTGGACATCGCAAGTGGGAAGAGTTGCACTCACATCCTTTTCACAGGCTTCTGGACAGCCACACTTAACAACAGGAGGCCGCAGTCTGCCCCCCCCTTCTCCCTTGGACCACTCATCATCATCCCAACACCAATCCCCTGGCTCTGAGCCTTCTTCCCTTGGGGGTTCCCTGGCTGGTGCCTCCCACCACTCCTTTGCCTCCAGCCAGTCCATGACAAGGTGCTCAAGAACTGGTCCTTACAGTTCCTCTCTAATATATGCCTGCTTCTAAATAGTTTACCCACATATTCAGAAGGTGTGCCTGGCTCAGGCATTCCACAACAAGCCATTGTTTCTTTTTAAAGATGAGACGGCGTCACCAATTATTTTTAATGGTTTTCAGAGGAGCTTCCAATATGTAGGAAGCTAGAAGGCACACAACAGGGAGGCAACAGCTTTGCAGCAGCTCCCTGTCACGAAGCGTTCCAGCCAATAGGCTCTTGAAAGAAACCAACTTCTCATTTCCTCCATGACTTGCATCTCGGCAGGAAACCACAGTGTTTTTTCAGCAAGTCTTAGGGAGCCTTTAACTTGCTCATCAGAATAAACTGGTCACAGGGTGCTCATTCTCAAAAATTCCACCCACACCCCAAAATCTGATAAAGGTGTTTCCTTTTATTGATTGGTTTCACCAGTCTACCGCTGATAGTCACCCAAGTGGTGCCTCCTGCGATCTTTTGCTTTTTGCACTTTCCCCGTCAAAAATATTTACACATTCTTTGAGCGCTCAGCCTGAACATGCAATGGAAAGAAGTTTACAGGGGGCTTTGGGAGATGTGTGTGCCCCTTCCAGCACGCCTGACCTTCACATGTTTAGCACAAATGGCTGTAGGGAATTCCATGCTTGGGTGCCTCTTTGCAATCTGGACCCTGAAAACCCTGGAGACCTGTGCAAGGAAAATTTTCAGATGCAGAGATTTGGGCAAGGGAACAGTAGTTTATTAACCTTAGACTCAGGACAAAGTTACTTGAGAGACTGCCTAACAGGGGTCAGCAAACTTTTTCAGTAGGGGGCCGGTCCACTGTCCCTCAGACCTTGTGGGGGGCCAGACTATATTTTTGGGGGGACAAATGAACACATTCCTATGCCCCACAAATAACCCAGAGATGCATTTTAAATAAAAGCACACATTCTACTCATGTAAAAACACCAGGCAGGCTCCACAAATAACCTAGAGAGACATTTTAAATAAAAGGACACATTCTACTCATGTAAAATGTGTAAAACACGTTGATTCCTGGACTGTCCGCAGGCTGGATTGAGAAGGCGATTGGGCTGGATCCGGTCCCCAGGTCTTAGTTTGCCTACCCATGGCCTAACACCTCATACACCTAGCAAGTCACTGCAGCTGTTGGGGGGAATTTCTCCTTCATGTCCCTAAAGCATCAGAAGTCCCCTCCACTGTAACTCAGAGCAGAACTTTTAGTGTGGCTGCCCCGATTTTGCCAAACAGCATCTCCGTTTAGGTACCCCTGCTGTTTGTAGTTTCCAGAAACATTTGAAGACATTCTTTTTTCACCAACCTGTTCCAGATGGACGAAAAAGGCCTCTGCCTTAGTTGTCCATGTTGTATTGTGTTTAAATTTGTACTTAGCTGTGTTTTTGTACTATTTTTGAATTTTTAGCTGTACTTAGTGGTGTGTTTGCAAATGGCCTTGAGTCACATGTGAAAGGCGATTCATAAATAGATGCATAAAATGATTTACCTCAGGGCATGCCCTTTAAGATGGCGGTTGTCAATGTTCCAGTATCCTTGACTACAGCTCCCATCTTCTCTGACCACTGGCTATGTTGGTTAAGGCTCATGGGAGTTGTAGTCCAACAGCATCAGCAGGGCACCATGTTAGCTGGGCTGTTGGAAACAGATTCTTTGACTCCAATTCAAGCCCTGTCTTCAGTACTGGACACTTCTCTCTCTGGGTCTGGAATGCGGACCCTGTTGCCTCACTGATGTTGTTGGTCCCCATCTCCCATCAGCCCCAGTCAGCATGGCCAAAGGTCAAGGATGATGGAGCGGTCATCCAACAACATCTAGAGGGCCACACATTGGCCAGCCCTACATATCTGGCTGCCCAGTTCAGACAACAGATGGTTCTTCTGAACAAA